GAAAATCATTTTCACATAATAATGCTTGGATTCTATTAAAGTTATATCTTTTTACAATTTTAAAAAGTCTTAATGCTGTGAAAGTTAAAGAAAAAAAAGAAGAAAAAAAAGATATATTGATTATTATAAAACTTATGCAAATCATTTTTGTCCTTGCACTCACATTATTATAATTATTCTTTTCAAGTCACCAGTGTCTGGACAATTCAAATACATAAACAAAATAACAATTTTTTTTTTCTTTAAGTACAGAAAACACAAAGAGGATATGTATTGATTATAAAAGCCAATAGGTGCCGCATTTCAAACATGTTACTAAACCCTGATTTATAGTTGTGTATTTAAGGACTGTAAGATATGTAGCAATATTGGGACACACAAAGAAGTGGACACACATATTCACACAAATTAAATGGAAGTGGGTGCATAGATAGTATTGTATACAATTTGATATTCACAATATTTGAAATAAAATGTTTCCACTCTAATGAAAAATACAATCATAGTTCTTTTTGACATTCAACAGTGTTCGGTTCAAACATGAAATCAGAATTTTAGTAGCATTTTTCATTTCTATAGAAGAAAAAAGTAGTAGTTTTGTGACCAGAGATATTTTTTGTGTAACTTCAAAAATTCTATAAATTAATTTTATAAATTGATACATGTAGATATTGTATTAGAAATGGATACATTTTCCTTTGTTGTCAGCTAAAAAATGTTTCTGATAATCCTTATGACTTACATTATAATCATCGTCACCTACTAAAATACTTCTATGTTTAAGTCTTTGCTTTTAATGAGTAAGCTCCCATAGATTTTTGCCCAATTCCTAGACAATTTCCAAGAATTGGTTTCATCCATTGCTAATTATGACATTTTAGTTTTTTTTCTTATGTTTGGGAATGTAGAGTTTTGCAATTTATGCTTTCCAAAGCGAATTTTCACAAATGGACCCTTATCATAAACATCATGACTACTAGAACACCTGAGGTTTGCAAATGAGTTCCAAAGATGCCAAATATTATCAAATAGAATATACTTTCATTTTGAATTTAAAACCAAAAACAAAAAAACTATATCTGAATTAAGATGATGAATACAACTAAATTATATAATATATAAATTATTTCCATCATATTTTGTTTGTAAAATAAATAAAAATAAATTTAATCTATAACAAGTTTAATTTCTACATTGTACCAAATTAAAGAGAAAACTGGGCCGGTTTAAAAAATATTTTACAAACATATGATTAAACATTTTTCCAATAGCATAAGTAATAATAAAAGTTACTTTTCTTTCTCAGTCTGAAGTTATTTTTTTCAAAGTAAAACTACATGACAGTTTTAATTTTTAATTTTAAAAGCTAAATATTTAACAGAATTACCTGAGAAATAATATTTATATGATAAATAAATCAATTAATCTATCAAAAATAAATTAATTAAATTTGAATAATTTTTAACAAAGTGTAAAAATCTCCAACTCAAATCCCAAATTATTTCAGTGGTTTTTGAAGTGTCAATATAAACAATGTTTTAATAATTTAGTTAAATAATTGTTCAACATCATGATATTGTTTTTTTTTCTCTCATTTGCCAGCAATAAAGTGTATTGTTTATATTATTTCTATGTAAGGATTTCAGTGCTTTGTAATATCAGTTCATCAAAATTTTACTTCATATATTTATAAAAAATAAAAACAAAATTGGAATATTTCTCCAAAACTTTTAGTTGAGATTTATGTGCATTAAGTTAATGTTTTGCAAATAGATATTTTGTTCATTAAGAACTCAAGCTCAACTTGGACATTTCCAACATAAAGATTCAAGAAACCATAAAGACATGTACTTGTATAAAAGATTACAAATTATAATGGACATAATAGCAGAGGAGATTGCTATCAGATTTTTACTAGTCAATATATGAATATATTTTTAATATTAACAAATACCAGTTTAATTTAATAACCATAAAAAATATTCTAATTAAAAAAATGGTTGAAGCTTATGGGTTACTGTGTAAAGTCATACTGCAATAGGTCACAAGATCTTGTGTAACTTGGGTTTTAGTTGTAACATGATATCATGATAGGCACACTGTCTAGTAAGATGGAAAATTATAAAAATGTCAAGGTTCAATTTATAAGGAGTCAGCCTGAGGCTTAGTAAGATGAAGGCAACCAGTGTGTGTGCATTTGGAGTTCTGAATTGGGTGAATTAAAAATAACATTAATAACAACAGAATTCAAAAAAATAGTTAAGTGTATAATATTGCTACTGGATTTATAAAAATTACAAGTGACACCCATAAAAATGCTCTACAGTTAATGCTCTCTTTTGGGTGACTGAAGTGTTTTAAAATGTCTGGCTGATAAAATAGATTAAAAGATCTGACATAGCAAAAATTATTTTGTATATAGTAAAAAAAAAGTGATGTGGTCTTTTTCTATGTCAATTGGCCTTCTTTGAACTGAAAAGGAGCATCATTGATATTGTCATTTTTAGGATAATTTTAGCCAGATCCTTATGTATTATATTAATTTCACTTGTTTGGATATTGCATACCAGTATTTGTAGCTAGTGGTGTTGTTTTCAAATTCAAATATTGACAATTACACTCACATACCAAAAGTCATGGTATAGGAACCAAGTATCATGTAGGACCTTCTCAGGCCTAATGAATTGCAGCAACTTGACTGATATCACAACTGGTAAGAAGACCTCTGGAAAGATGTTGAGCTATGCCACTTTTATAGCTGTCCACTGCTCCCTGATATTTGTAGGCGCAGGAACTCACATGGGAATAGATCTCTCCACCATGTCCCATAAATGATCAATTGGGCTTATGCCAGAATGCTCCAAAAACTAATTTGGAATACCCTGACCCTGACGTAATAATCCATTATCATTAGGGTTTATGGAGCTCATGAACAAGTGTAAAAGGTTATGCAACAGTGCAACATAGTCACTAGTCGATGGTATGTTTAAGCAGACTCAACTCCCATGCCATGTTAATATGTTCCATGCCATTATGGAACTACTAGAAGCCTGCATAGTGCCTTGTTGACAACTTGGACCTATATAGGGTTTGTACAACATGCAAACCCTATCAGGCAGAAACAACTAGAACAATGATTCAAGTTGCTAGTCCTCTAAGGTCCAATTAGTAATGTCACAAGCCCAGTTGAGACACTATGTCCAATATCATAGTGTTAATAAAAGCACCCTAATGAGTTTCCCAGTTCCATACCCCCAGGAAGCTAAAGAATGCTGAACCTGCTGCATATGTGTTTGGTACCTTCTGCATTGTGAATGTCACTGTGTTTCTGTGTTACAGCAAACAATTCTAGCCAAACATCTCCGGTTACAATCATTATGAACTTGCGGTCAACCACTGCGCTGTTCATGATATGCAGTAACACCTTACATCAAGCATTACATATCTTACACTGTAGATGTCAAATGTACCCACAATTTCAGAAATGGGATATCCTGTCTGGTACCCACCATTTATGCCCCATGTAAATGCTGATAATTCACGTTACCTTGCTGTGAGCAGCCTAGCTGATGTTCACACAGACTCACCTGATGTCTGAGCACAACTGATGGGAGTCTGGACATTTTCATGATGTCAGTACATCACTTTTACATACCACTATCCCATGACTTTTAGCACATCAATGTATAATCATTTAGTGCTAATGTCCTTGGGAAAGGTATATACATTGAAATTTCTATCATATAAATACATCAACACATTAATAAACAATACATTGATAAAGTCAGTTCAAACCTGTCTAAAGTAAAATTGAAAAGAATATCACTGTGCATTGGCCTGTTGCTAGTCATCTAAGATTGAGAAGACAATCAATTGTCCAAAACAACAGGTACTATCTTCATAGTCAATTATGATAGATGGAGGCTAGTTTTAATGGGCAGGTGTTTGTATAGGCATTCAAGGCTTTATTTCTTTCCCAGTCATCCAAGTATTAGAGCTGGGGATAAAATTATCGCAGTGCATCATGCAAGTCACTTGGAAAAATAAAAATCAGTTTTAAGTAAGGTATTTCTATAAAGTGAATATGTCATTTTAATTTGATAAATTCTATATACATTCAAATATGTAAATAGAATTTTTTTTAAGAAACAACTCTTTAAAAATAATTCATGACCACATTTCATGAGTTTGTTCGATATGAAATATCAAAATAATATGAATGAACAATGTTTTTTTTTTCAAATATGATTCAGATATATAAATCAGCGCCTGGTCATGTGTGTATACCAGTATGAGAATGATGTGGGCATTTCCCATCAGCCAACTACCAAGAGTAATTTCCCATCAAAATTCATTCAAAGGCAATTTGCCAGAACTACATATTCTATTTAATAATAACAAGAGCTTAAAATCAAAATCTATTTAAAGAGCCATTTTAGTAGCTTTTATGTTCATAAGAGGAAAGTAGCAAAACATTGCTAAATTTTAAATTTTAATTTTAGAGACAAGTAACACATGGATGGGTGAGAGGGAGATTCTAGCATAAAAAAAATCAATAATAATCCAAAATATTTCTAAATAATCAATATTTAATTTTAAAAAATGTGGCTGAGTTGTTAAATATTCCACATTTGATTATCTTATAAAAAGATTAAAACAAAATAAAACCATTTCTTGTTCTTCTGCAAATAATGATTATCTTCATGTATATTTCTCAGAGATACTTTCATATTTTTTCTTTAAAAATTGTCTGATGGATAATAATACACACATATACTGGCATACCACTTTCTTTTGAAATCAGATTTCTATTTACTATGGATTGTCACCAACCAAGCACTTTTAACACACAGATGACTGAACTGTGTCAATAATAGACTTCAATAAAATAAAAACTGGCAAATACCAATTAGATGAGAAATTAAAATGCTTTAGATTATTGACTGATGAAAAAAATTACCTAAAGCCCAATATAGAATATTTTAAGAACATTGTTCATCTTAGACAAAAACTGAGCCATTTGAGCTGATATGCGGCTCAGTCTGGATTTCAACATGCTCAGCTGGAGGAGGAGGGAGATGGATCCTTGAGTTGTAAGGGTCTGGAGTACCTGGTGGAGTGAATGTATTTTGGTGAGAGTGGGGGTGACCATTGCTTTGGTTGTGGGTATGTTGATGTGGATGAGTCTGGTGAGAGCTGCTACTACTGCTGCTGCTGCTGGTGATTCCACCATCATGATTGTGAAGAAGGTGATGAGACGGATGTGGAGGTGCAACACCACTATTTGGGTAGCTGTATGTGTCTTTCTGTGTGAGGGACAACCCACTAGATCCTCCTGCACCTAGATCTGGTCCATTTTGTGGTACAATCTCTCTATTGCTAACATCACTGATGCCGCCAGGGGTCACATTTCCTCCCACTGCAGTTGCTGCTGCGACATTGTGTGCCTTTTCATGACATTTCAACAATGACTTGTGTGCAAAGACTTTCCCACATAAGGAACATGAAAATGATTTCTTATCTCCATGGTTTCGCATATGAGTTTTGAGGTTGCCCTTCTGACTGAAAGCCTTATCGCACAGTGTACATGTAAATGGCTTTTCCCCAGTATGGGTACGCTCATGGATCTTAAGATTACCTTTCTGGCTGAATTCTTTTGAGCAGGTCATACAGACGAAGGGCTTCTCTCCAGTATGAGTACGTTCATGGTTACGTAAGCTGGATACCTGACTAAAAGATTTTATACACATATTGCAATTGAAGGGTTTCTCTCCTGTGTGGATTCGTTCATGGTGCTTGAGGTTTCCTCGCTGACTGAAGGACTTAGAACAGGTTGCACAGGTGAAAGGTTTCTCTCCAGTGTGTGTGCGCTCATGATTACGCAAAGATGATATCTGGCTGAACTCTTTATGACAAAATTCACAAAAGAACGTCTTGCGGTCTGTACTATTGGCTGCAGAGTGTTCTGCTCGCTTATGGGCCTTTAACTGGTCATAGAGCTGGAACATTTTCCCGCAAGTTTCACAGTTAAACTGATGAGGTCCCATTGAGTACACTGACTGCATTGAATACATTATGGCAATCAACTACTGATTTCACTTGTTAGAATTAATTAAAAAAAAATATCAAGTGCTTCTGAAAATAGCTATAATGTATCCAATCTTACAACACTAATAATTAAGAAATGTCCTAAAGATGAAATCTTCTGTGTACAAATAGATTAGAACAGGATTTTTAAATTCCTAATTCATAGAAGTGAGAAGTGGAAAAACATTGAGACTTAAATCTGCCTTGATTCTCTGTTGAGATGCAATATGGACACAATGGATAAATAGTAGACAATCAGCTGCAAAGCATCAGATGGTTGCAGAATTCACAGTGAATTTAGTGACCTCAAATATAATTTCAATCTAAGATGGTAAGCTTGTAATTTTCATTCTCCCCAAAACAAAAAATGAAGAGTTGATTGCTGTTTGATCTATTTTGGAAAATGTTGCAGTCTGTCACAAGAAAATATTCTGGAAAGAGAAGAAAAGAAAAAAAAAAGAAATAATTTACAAAATTATAAAACACTCCTGTCAAATACAGATAAGAGAATTTTAAGTATTAAAAAGTCTGAAGCAAATATTTACTTTCTTTTCATTATTCTTAAGCTATACTTGTCAAAAAAAGTATACAAATATATCATTTTGAATTTTCACACTATAAATAATTTTTCTTCAGCATCTTTCAAACCATTTTAATTACTTGCAAAGGCAATGATTGCTATATTCACATCTTACTTTGGTAAACAGAAATATTACTGAAATTTCAATTTATTCACTTTTTTAAAAATGATGCTAACTGTAAAAAAAGTTGCTATGTTATTTCACAACTGGTAAGAAGACCTCTGGAAAGATGTTGAGCCATACCACCTTGATAGCTGTCCACTGCTCCCTGTATAATCTAACACACCACATACATACATACATACATATATAAAGTTATCTCATAAATAATGTTTGAATTTAGTTTTACATATCAAAAGAAGTAATGGATTTTTTTTTTTATTAATCTGAAAGATTTTATCACTTAAATGTTATTTTTAGTTGATACTAATATTTGAGTAGACATTTCCTTTTATTTATTTTCATCTACTGCTATGAATATTCAAGAAATCTTATTAAAGAAAAATATGCACCCTCCGGAAGGATTCATACCCATGTCCCCCTTAGCAGGGGAAACAGTTGTTAATTCGATGTGCCACAAAGAACATATGCTGATCAAGCAAGGCTGAATAATGCCTTGAAGCAAAACCCTTCTCTTAGGAAATGAAAATAAAAATAACTGTTTAATAAATAAACAGAGCATCTACTCAAATATGAGTATCCACTAAAAAAAAATAATGTTTAAGTGAGATAATCTATATATGTGTTGTGTGTGTGTGTGTGTGTGTGCGCATACGCCCCCCCCCTCATCAGTATCTCTACTTGTTCAGTATCTCAGATTTTCTTACTTAAATGCAGCTCAGTTTCGATATCTTTTGGGTTGATCTTCAGTGCACCCATTTTTTATTCATATACCTGATTGATCTACAATATTTATGATGACATGCATTCTTGGGCTTTCTGTGAAGTTACACAAAAAGCAACATCTATACTGACAAACATGTAAGATTTTCCATTGCAACATTTTGAAAAGTTATCCTATATATAAGTCAGTTAATTTAGCAACATAGGTTCCATCATTGTCAAGAAGCTCCTTGCAACAATTCAAAAATTTTATAAAAAGTCTTTTCGTAAAAAGTCATTTGGTTTGAAGAAAAAAAATTAGAGAAGGGACTTTGTGTATCCTCATGTTTTAAGAACTTGTTCTAGCTGCATGGTCATCAGATGGAACATAATCTGGAGAATAAATAGAATGGGAAAAGTCCTTCAGTCTTTGCTGTATGGTACCAGGCATTATATACTGTAACACTGACTGGTAACAACAATATACTACCAAGCTTTTTATAAAAACTTTCCATTGATGGACGCCCATTTTAGGGTGTGAATTTTTTCATAAATCTATTGTTTTCATTGATTTATATACTTGTAAAATATCCATTTTTCATTGCCAGTCACAAATATGCCCCAAAATGGCAAGATGCACTCATGAATATACAGAGAAGTGCAAGATATCCATGCTTGTTTTGCAGTTGTCTTCTGTCAATTTATGTGGAACACATTTTTCAACTTTATGCCCTTTGCAAGTTGTTACAGTTGATGGTAAAGTGTTGACTGGTTTGAATTCATAACAATCAAATTTCAATTAAGTTCAAACAAAAGCCAGTCATCATAAAAACAGGAGATCCTGTTTGTGGCACATTTCTTAAACTTGTTCAATATTTGCAGACATCGCATAATAATGATATGCAAATATTTTGTTTTTTATTTATAAGTAATAATGGACCTTTTTTTTGTTTTAGTCACATCTAAACCTTTCAAATCAAAATCAGCAATTTATTTCATTTTAAAAAACCTATTCTATACACACCATAAATATTTCTGGTTGTTTCTGCATTATTACCTCACTAAATTCAGGTTTAATACACTATATAAACATACCATATATATATACCCATATACCCATCTTTAGGAGGTCAAGTTTATAATCACGATAAATCATACTGTTATTATATAAATGACTTGTTTAAAATTGTACAAACACATGTCCTAATCTGAATGAAAATTCAGACATTTTAAAATATGAAAATCAGATTTTAGACATACAAGATGATCTGATTTTATTTAGATAAACACAACAGATATAAAGTGTGTGTCAATAATTATGCAAAAGGATAATATAGTAAATTTAATTTTACAAAAGATGGACAAAAATTAATTTAACACAATGGCAACATCACCAACATAACAAAAACAAAACCATTCTGTACAGTTGTAAACAAATGGAAGCTATTTTTGTTATAACCTTACATTTTATGAGTGCCAAATTAAACACTGTAAAATATTATAGGTTTCCAATGTGACTTTATTAAAGACTAGAAAGAATTCTACCATCATGCAACTTGCAGTAGTAATACAACCATTTAAATAACAAAAATACTTAACAGAGATTGTTGAAAAGATTAGAAATAAATTGTGACTGATGCATCACAAGATCAGAGAAGGACAAGTTCAGGCTAACAAATGAATGAGAAGTGTCACAAATTAAGCCTGAATACCAAAAGTATATTTAAGAAGGCTGATTAAGATAGTATATCCAAGTCATGACAATGCTGAATCATCACACCATATTACAAAATATGTCAAGCTTGATATTTGATCAACTTTGAAGCACAGATACATGAAGTATTTGAAAACCGACTTCATCACTGTTCTTTTTTTTTTAACTGTAGGACTAAAGCAGTGGACAAGTTATGTTTAGGAATGGAAATGTAGGAAATTAGTTAGTTGAATCTTGGCATGTACCAGATGGAGTAAAAATGACTTTCCAGGCACATAATAGAAAATCTCTGGAAGATCCTCCAAAAGAAAAGATATGAAGATAGATATCAGTTTGCAACCAAAGAAGACTTATGGCAAGCTACAATATCTCTGATTCATAGGCAAGGATCTTACATTTCATAGTATACTATGGACTTTTCATTTAAAAAATTACATGTTCATTTACAGGTCTCAGTGTTTTTATAGTTTATGTAGACTGTTTCCATTCTGTTTCATGTTTCTCATGTTTTAATATATAATTAGTGTCTTAGTTTATTTTTCTAAACAGGCTTAATAATTTGGCATAATCAAAAAAGGAATGAATTGAAAACAAATACTTCATGTTCTTCACCACCAGAGCATTTAAGTTCAATATTTGCAGGCATTGCATAATAATGATATGCAAATATTTGTTTTTATTTATAAGTAATAATGGACCTTTTTTTTTTTGATATTCTCTCCAGACTTTCAGTATTATCAAAATTCATAAAAGTTCTTTAGATCAGGATCAAAGAATTGGTGAATAAATTTTAAATATATCCTTTTGGAGTTAATAATGCTTTGTATGCTAAATCTATTTTATTAATTCAGTGATTACAAAATGTCTGTTGAATCTGAAAGTTTTTAGGTATAAATTCTACATTTCTGGTGGCAATGCCCAGCAAGATTTTCAAGATTTTCTTTTAATTTTTTGGTTTATTTGTAATTTTGTTATGTAAAAAATATATATGAAAATTTAATAAGAAACTCTCAAAATTATAATCAATGAGCTAATTATAACCTGAATAATGTAGCAATTGTATAAACTGAGCCTATAAATATTTACTTTATTTAATTCTTTAGTATTGATAATAGAACATTCCTGTATATGGAAGCACACACAAACAAAAAGTAACAGAAAAATAGAGTTTTCAGTTAAAATGATGTAGGACATGAAAGAAATGATTAATTCATTAATAATTTCTTTCCTATTATCAACAACCAATTTCTTTTATAAAAGACTGTATCACTTCTGGAAATAATAAAAATATTCAAGTATCCAATACCTAAACTAATAATTAATTTAATAATTA